AGCGAGAGTTAATGCGAGGTGATAGTAACTTGGGAGAGGTCTGGGAAACTAAGGGACGGGTCGAACTCCCGTTGAACTCCTTTCATAAGGTACTGGTCTTCTGGAAATCCTGAGGTAGAGGTCTGTCACAGATAAATGATAGCTGGCCAGAGGAAGGTCATAGAGGCACTGTGGAGGTGGTGGAATGTTTAAGTAAGTAATCGATCGAGATTAGGTGTCTTGAATAACTGGAATTGAGATTTACGCAGATATAAGTTGTGAATAGAATAAGAGGTCACAGTATGGTCGTGAAATTGGGTTGTTTTTTAGGATAGTGCATGCTCTCAGAAAATATATTTAAAGAATTCACATACTTGGAGCTGGTTGAGTGTAATCGTGCTGGATGGAATGGCACTTGAAGGCTTTGATTTGAGTTCGGGAAAGAGATGGTGGATGAAGTGTGGGCGTCGCGCTGACTGTCGAGAGCAATCTTTGTATTGCGCATGCGAACAGCTGGGAGGACTGTGAGTGGAGGGATATGCGACGGACTTCCTCGGATTCGTGACAAAAGTGTTGAAGAGTTGGAAGCAATGAATCTATATAGCACTCGCGAACCACGTAGTTGTTGGCGTAGGTGGTTTTGTCAGATACATGAAGGATTGAGGCGCTCTTATTGTAAGAAAGGACCAGTAGTGCTGGTCGAAAGGCATACATTTCTGAATTGTTTCTACATGTTGGAACGATGTCAGTACGGTAACCGGACGTTAGGAGGTAAACAGCAAAGAGGTATTTTCAAGCAGCAATTCTGGAGGCTTGTAGTTCATGTGGCTCGGAGACTCGAACTGCGAAGGAGCGTGCGCGTGCAGGATGTGTGATATGCGAGCACTCGGCGTACAAACAGCAGACGAGAAACCAAACAAAACGATGAATTTCTGGTTTATGAGAGGGATATATTGGTGGAGATAAATTTAGCAGAAGGGAATTGTTGAGGTTACAGTTTTCGTATACAGAGAGTGTGAGGTAAGTTTTTTTGCATGGGGAAAGTGGTTCGGCAAGTTTGTGGTAGGGCACGATGAGAGGTCGCAGGGCTAACATTGCTTCTCAGACGAGAGGTTTGTGCAGAGACAGAGATATAATAATATAATTTCGGGACAGTTAGGGGAGGTGTACAACTGTGGGATGTGACAGGGCGGAGATGGATGCTCGCAATACTGTACGTTACAGTGATGAGTGTGGAGAGAGAGTCATGCGTTTCTAGGAATTTCTTGTATTCGCAATTGGGAGCGGAAGGGGGATAAGGATACGTAGGTCGAATCGTGATACGTGTTCTAGGATCACTGTCACGGGGTTGATGTGTGAAGAATGATGTTACATATTTTGATTGGAGAGGGCTAGAAAGTCAGATAAGGAGATAACGTCTTTGGTTTTGACAGACACGGAATGTCGAGTTCAGTCTCGCGCCAGAAGTTAGCTGAAGGAGGTTGTTAGTAGTTTACTTAATACGGCTTCCTGACGGGAGAGAGTGAATATCGGTTCGGTAGCACTGGCAGTAGACTGTGCTCGCACAGGGGATTTTTATGTTTTCTCTTGTCTTTTTTTAACGGCGTGTTGTGCGCGTGTGTTTGTAGTCATTGCCGTTAGGTGGGCAGCGCGGTGTCGGCGGAAGCGAAGATGCGTCGGGCTGGAAGGACAGGGGGAGATGAGAAGAAGCGAGCCGCTAAAGAAAAAGGACGATGTAGACAGTTTTATGTGCTAATAGGTTTCGTGGCCATATTGCAGCAACGAGGATGGTGTTTTTGCCCTTACGGAAGGCTAAGCGAACAGTTCTAGGTTAAAAGGTCTTTCCGTTGGTTTATTCTCAGCCAGTTTGGAAATGGCAGTTTCAAATATTTTAATTCAGCATAAGAGGTTGGTTAAGTATAGGAGTAAAAAGCTAGGCGGATCGGGAGGGACCGGTGCGGATGTGTTTCATAAGGGGGCCTTAATTTTCCTCTCTTCGTTACGGGGGGCGGGCAGGGCGGGCGAGGGGCCGGCGGCCGCGGCGGCGGGTGACGGGGCGGCGCGGGGCGATAGGCGATGCGGCCGGCGGTGGCGGGTGGGGTTAGGTGGTGTCCGTGGCCTTGCGGGGCGTGTCGCTCCGTGGATGTGTGATGAGTGGGGCCTCTGCGTGGGAGTGCGCGCTGCGGGCGGGGCGTTGGCGGGTCCCACCACTCAGTCGATTGCGGCGCGAGCTCTTTCCCGGTTCACCGTCGGTGGGAGCTACGTACTCTAGGCTGCTAAGGATTGGGTTCGGTAGGGCTGCTTGCGTGTTCATGGAGCCGCCCATTGAGTTGCAGAGATTCTGTGTCTGTTGAGATGCCGGCGCGTGATTTATATGAAGAATCGGCGGGAGGACGTGTAGAAAATATGGCTAATGAGAGCATGATTCATCGGACGAAGGACATGTCTGGAATCGGTTGCAGAGTATAGAAGGTCTTATGGGTCTGATGCCTGTGAGATAAGTTGGTGGTGGTGGATGAGGCGGCGTGGTAGACACGGTAAATCTGTCGTAGTTTTTTAATGCCAGCTAGGGGGAGAAGAGCGTGGGTTTTGGGATGGGTGATCTAGACACGATATAGAAATACGAAACGTCTATCGTGGCGCAGAGGTCGATGCACGCGGATTATAAGCCGAAATCACTTAAAGATTTCCGTATTCTGCGATTGTTGTGTTGCGTAGATCTGCGATGTAGATATGTTTGTTTTAGATTTGTTGTGTTTAAGGTTGAGGTCGGGTGTGCTGATAGAGGAGGATGCGACGGAAGAGGTTTAGCAATGACGTTTTGACTTATATATGGTCAGAACTACGTTCCGTTTTCGATCCGCCTCGCTTTTCGAAGAGATCTCGCGACAGGAGACGCAGACCGTACCTGCGTTCAGAGTCGAATCAGACGCTGTTGTGTAATGGCAGCGGGCGCATCCGTCGTCTTTTCACATTCTATGCAGGCGGTATTACGACTTGTGCTTTTGTCAGCAATCGCGCTGTCGCTTTCGTCTCCTAAGCCAGATTGTTTTTTCCAGCCCTCTTGTTCTGCTCGACGCAGTCCTCTCTTGTGGTCATCCTAAGGTCTCGGCAAGCTTCTAGCGTTTGTGTAATGGCCCTACAACGTTTGGTTCAGGAGATTATTTAAGATGTTTAGAAAAAATAGTAAACCAGTGGGAGCGGGTTACATTTAGCATGATATATTAATTTTATTCTCGTTTGTTTCGTCAGATATTGTCAAATAGTTTTTCTGATATTAACTGGCGGAGATGGAATTGCAATAATCGTAGATTAATTACATATTGGTACATCGAATCTTGAGTGGCTCCTCAGAAACAATGAAGTGATATAATTATTAAATGAAGAATGGAATACATTTGATGTTTAAAGAATATTAACAAAATAAATAATGCAGCGAGAGATTGCAATACGAAGTTTTTCGAGAGTGTTGGCAAGAAACATAAGAACTCAATTAGGTTATTCTTTGGCGGGCTATTAAATATTGTTGACTAAAAGTGTACGCGTGTAACAAACGAATATATCAAAATAGTCCAAACTTTGAATGCACAATCGAACGCGTCGAAATACGGAGCAGTACGTAATATCTTCCGGTTCTCCAGTTTACTGGCAGAAAGCACAAATTATGAGTTACAAAAGCAGCTACTGTGTTGTCAAAATGTCGTGAGTCTACTAACTTAATGACCCAAAGATAAAAGATTAAGTAGAGGTAAGGTCAGGTAGATCTTGTTTGGAAACAGATTTATGTGAGTCCACCGCGACACTATAATCTCTGGACACTTCAATGATGGAAGATAAGTTTTTGCACATATTTTTTAGAAATGAGGGCGGGTTCCATAGCGTGAGAATACAATTCGAGAAGCGAGGAACGGACAATCCACGATGGGCAAAGGACATTCATGTTCTATAGAAGATTAATAAGCGTTTCAGTTAGCGTTGTGTATGAAAGTGATGACCTAGAATGTAGAATATCAACAATTACGCAAAAGACATACTTAAGGAAAAATTCTAACATGGAATATGCCTTATGCAACGTGTATGCATGTGGCTTAGCTAGAGCCATAAATGACTATTTCTTAGAATTAAATTATTGTACTTCTCAACGACTGTGCACTCTCACATGAATAATTTTCAACATTCAAACATGTAATTTGAAGATAGCCAGGTCTCAAACGCATACTCGATTATACAGTTTGTTGGTATGAAAGTGTATGAGACATGATAGCTAATTTGTAGGATATAAAACTTACTTAGTGAAGGAATTTATGTATTCGAAAATACAACCGAGAAAGATATCTTCTTACACGATTTGATAAATTTTCTTCAGCTTCTATCACAAGGTACCATGCTTGTTCGTAGGTCGAGAAGGCCGCATTCGGAAGTCGAAGAAATAACAGTTTCTCACACACTTTGAAGGTGTAATAAATACGCTTTCATGCGGTACATTACGATTACAAAATTGTTCTGTGATATTCATGTACGGTTTTCCGCAATGCGTCCAAAAATTCAAAAAAATTTCTGCGTTATTGGATGTACCCAATTGCCGAACAGTGCAGCAGCCAAACGCGGTTATTTGCTCGAAGATTCTCAAAAGTGATATTTTATGGTTCTTTGACAATGATCTCTGTATCATTTCTATATTTCATAATACTTCGTTCACCATATCCGTCCGATAATTTAAGATTAAATTAAACTACTTACTTGTAGATAATGAGAATTACTCACCATCCTAATTGTAAGTTATTTGATGATCATTATAGCTAGGTAATTATGTTTGTTAAATAT